ATATAATATAAACTTAAGCCGGGCTCGAGAATAGACTTTTATAACTTTTTTAATAATTAACTTAATATTAAATTTTATAATCGTTTTTAGCTATTTTTATTAAGAACCTTTTTAATAAGACTACGATTAATTATTAAAGCCTTATTTACTTTATAATTTATAAATATAGTTTTAAAAAAGCTATTTATAATTACGATACTATTTACTTAGTACTCGTAGCTTTAATTTTTATTAATATACTTATTATAACTAACTAGTTATAATACTTTAATTACTCTTATTTAATAAGTTTATTTTATAAAAAACTAACTAAATAGTATAAATATATTAATTATTAATAATAATAATACGGCATAGCTTATTAAAATAGCTATACTTACTATTTAATAACTATATAATATAATACTTAAACTTAAAAATAAAAATAAGTAGTTTTATACTTAGCTTATAATACCCTAACCTTTTTTAATACTTAGAATTAAGTACTCTAAACTAGAACCCTATAATAAGTCCCTAAATACTCTCTAAGAATTCTTTACCTAAATTAAAACTTATTTACGTTACTATAAGACCTCTTTTATTATTAAAGTTAATAAAGTTTATTATATAGCTTTATTTTTTAAAAAAAATACCCTTATTTAATTTAAGCCCTTTATAAGAGACTACTTAAAAAACAAACGTAACTTTTAAAACGAAAATACTAAAATTTTTTTTAATAATTATAATAAATTTAAAAAAAACCTTAAAAAAACTTTTAGTAACTTTAATAAAGAACGAATTACTAAACGAAAGCTTATAACCCTTATATAAAAAAGATTAGTTAGTAAGTATATATTTAAATTTAAGTAGATTATTTTTAAGCTTAATTAAGGTAATAATACGTTTATAATAACTTTTTATTATAGTTTAAAAAAAAAATTAAAAATAACCTTTTTTAATAAAAATAACTAAATAAGTTTTATAATTATATTAATATAATAATTAAGATTAATAATTAATTTTACGAACGACGCTTTAAATAAAAAAGATAGAATACTTAGAATAACCGAGCTAAACTTAATAATAAATATAAATATAAATTAATAACTATTATAATAGGGTATTATAGCGGACTAATAGATCTTAGTATTACTAAAAAAGAATAACTTTATTAAAAAAAGGACTTTAAATACTATAACTATAATAAACTAAGATATATAACTAGAAACTACTAATAACCTAAGCGTATTTAATACTAACTTATTTTAAAAAAGCGAGCTAATATTATAAATAAAAAAGTCCCCTATAAGTAACTTTTATAAACGGCTTATTATAATAATAACTATCTTACTTATTAAAATAATAAAAAATAAATAGGATAGTACCTAAAATAACTTAAAAATAAAGGACGATTTAGATACGATATTATACTATCCGTTAAGACTTTAGTAATAGTAATAAAAAAAATAAAAATACCCGCTTACTAACCCTATATTCTTAAAGAAAATAATATTAAATATATTACTACGCTCTTTTAGATTTATAAGAATATAAAAAAAAAAGCTAAAATAAACCTTATTATAAAAGATATACTTTACTTTTTTTAAAAACGAATTAAATAAAAATACCTAGTTAATATAAAAGAGTAGCTCTTTAAATTTAAAAAAAAAGGACCTAATATTAAAAAAATTATAAGTAGCCTTATTTATATAGTATAACGAAACTATATAAATTAAAAATAATTTACTAAGTTTAAAAAAGGACTCGATTTAAACGAAATCCTAACTAAATCTATTTATATAATACGAAAAATAAATAATAATAAAAAATTTATTTATAAAGTTAAAAAATAACTTAGGGACCTCGTATATAAAAATAAGATTAAAATACTTAAAAGACTAACTTTTAATTTCGAAGTTATAAAAAAAAGAAAAATTAACTTTAATTTTAAAAAAAAAGATATTAAAATAGGAACTAATTCTTTTTATTTTAACAAAATAGAATTATTTTATAATTCGAACGAATCTCATAACATTACCCGACGATATATTTAAATAGAGATTAATTATAAAGTACTATTTAGTATTAATAATACTAGTTTTAAAAAGGATAATAATAAACTATAGTATAAGTATATTTATTTATTCGAGGATAATTAAATTATTTAGTTTTATAGAATTAAAGAACGTAAAAAGGTTATAATAACCCCCTATATAAATAAAAATCACTCTTTACTTAACCCTAAAAACCCCTTTTATAAAGAATTATTTTAAGTAGAATGCTTAGATAATAAATATTTTTAATACCTCGTATATAAATAAAATAGTCGCTTCTACTTACAAAAATATAATAATAAGCTTATTAAAAATATCTATATAGAAAATTAACTACTTAGTTAGATATTACTAAATTTTAATAATAATAATAAAGTAATATTTAGCTTAAACCCTAGCTTTTTTATAAAATACCTTAATAGCGAGTATATAAAATAAAAAGATTATAAATACGACTAATATTAAGTTTATTATATTAAAAAAGCTAAAGCTTAGAGAAAATAATAAGAACTAAATAAATAAGGTATTTAATAAAAAAAGCGTATAATAAAAAACTAAAAAAGCTAATTATAAAAGAACGATAAAAGGCGAGGATAAAAGAAAAGTTTTTATATATAACTAAATAACATAACGACGTATATTTATAAGTTAACCTTAATATTTATAAATAATGATTAAACGTTATTATTAATAGCGGCGTATAAGAAACTTATATTTTATTAAAAATAGTAAATAAACTTAATTTATTATAAATATAAAAGGATAACTTATATCAATTATAAATAGTAAAAAAAAAACGAGTTAATTATAATTATAAATATATTAATTAAGAGACTATATACTTCTTAATATATATTAATAACTAATAAAAATAATTATAATACGATATTATAAAAATCGGAAATATTAACGTTATCTTAAGAATCTCGTAATTACGAAAGTATAATTTATAAATAAATTAGATTATTAGCTAAGTCCTCTAAGAAAATTTAGTTACTAAATAACTTAAAAAAAAAAGGGTTTAAATAGATTTTTAAAAACTCTTAAAAAACGAGAATAAATATAATATATAGCTTTTATTAAAATAATAAAAAGCTCTAAGAAGTTTATAACTAGTACTAATAATTAAGGATTATAACGACTTTAAATTATACCCAAAGAGTATTAAATATATATAAAACTATTTATAAAACCTAAAGAAATAGGATTATTAAAATATAATAGCTAGGATATAAAAATCGAATTTAAAAAAAGAATATAACTTAGGTTCTTTTTAATATATTTAATAAATTAAGAAGAATAGGAATATTTTAATAAATATATTAATAAAAAACTTAAAAAAGTACTTATTTAACTATCGAATTCTTTTATAAAATTACCCTTATTCTTTATATTAAAAAAAGGAATAAAAAAATAAAAACTAGTTATTAATTATAAAAGACTTAACGAAATTACGAAAAAGAATTACTATTCTTTATTATTTATTACTAAGCTTAAAAATCTATTTTATAGAGCTAATTAGTTTATTATTATAAATCTTAAAAAAGTATTTAATTAAATTTAGATTAAAAAAAAAGATAAATAGAAAACGGTATTCCGAACTCGTAGAGGACTCTTTAAGTACTTTATTATACTTTTTAAACTTATTAACGCTCCGATAACTTTTTAAATAATAGTTAATTACGTATTTTAAGAATATATTAATATTTTTATTATTATTTATATTAATAATATTCTTATTTTTTCCCCTAACCTTAAGATATATAAAAAGTATATTTATATAATATTTTAAAAATTTTAAAACGCTAAGCTATATACCGAACCCTTTAAATACGAGTTTTATATATAAAAAGTAAACTTCTTTAAATATACTATTATACTAAGATAAATCTATATATAAATATTAAAAATAGAAATAGTTAGAAACTAGCTTATACTATAAAACGTTAAGGATGTATAAGGATTCTTAGGATTTATTAATTTTTATTAATAATTTTTTAAAAACTATATTAATATAGTTAGACCCCTTAATAACTTAATATAAAAGGATACCTTATTTATTTAGGATTTTAAATATAAAAAAATATTTATTAAAGTTAAGAATATAGTCGTTTCTGAACTAGTTATTATAATCCTAGACCCCGAAAACTTTTTAAAATTAAAACCAATACCTCGGACTTTACTATAAGAGCGGTTTTAAAATAATAAAATAAATAAAAAAAGCTTTATTTATATTATTTTTATTTTAAAATATTCTATAAAATAGAATTAAATTAATAAATTTATAATAAGGAATTAATAGTAATTATTAAAGTATTTTAAAAATAGAGATTATAATTATTTAGAACTAAGTACGAAGTTATAGTTTATATAAACTATAAGAACTTTATAAACTTTATAATAAATAAGAATCTAAATAAATAATAAGTTAAATAGAGCGAATACATAATTAAACATAATTTCTAAATTATTTATTAAAAAAGTTTAGAAAATAGTAAAATAGACGCTCTTAGTAAAAGGCCTAATTACGAAATTACGGTCCCTAAAAAAATATAAGTTATTTTTAAATAAGAAAAGGATGGTAATTTCGTATTAATTATAAAACTCTTTATAATAACTAAAAGGATTAATACTAGCTTAACTAAAAAAATAACCCCTAAGCTTATTATAGAAATTTATAATATATTAGTATACGGTTATTAAAAAATAATTAAAACGTAAAAACGGATTTATTAATATTATAATAAATCCGCTATACGTATTAAAATTATAAAAATAATTAAGGATTACGTAACTTATAAAAAAAATAAAAATAGCCTATATAAACTTTATAACGAGCTATAACTATTATAATTATTAATAAAAGTATAATAATTAATTATATAGGACTTTATTATTAAATTATTAAAGTTTAGAGAACTATTTATTAAAATATAGTACGATAGTATCTTAATTATAGTTAACTAACTTACTAAGTTTACTTATTTTATTTTTTATAAAAAATTAAATATTATAAAAAACCTAATATACGTATTTACTAAGGTTATATTTTTAAACTATAATTTACTAAGAAAAATTATTTTTAATAGAAATAAGCTATTTATTTTGAAGTTTTAGAAATCCCTAATTTCGTAACTTAATATAGACTATAAATTATTAATATTATTTTATTTATAAACCGATAGATAGATAAAAAGGATTAATTAGATCTTTAAGATATACTTTTATTATTATATAAACTATAATTAGAATAATTAAGTAGTACTTTTATTAATAGCTTAGTTTATATATAATAATATAATTAATAAAAGTACGAGAGAATCTCCGTTTTATTTTAACTACGGATTTTAGTTAATAATATATAAAGAAGTATAATAAGGATTATAAGTTATAAGAGTTATAGTAAATATAAATAAACTTAAAGAGATTTATAAATAAGCCTTATTAAACTTCGAGTTTATATAATAATATATAAAAAAGAACGTAAATAGATTAAAAATTAGAGGACTATTTTTAAAAAAGGGAAATAGCGCTTATTTTTTTTATTATAATATTAAAATAAAATAACTAAGTAATAAATTAGATTATAAAAAACTTAGATTTTTCGAAATTATTAAAAAAGTCTTATTAATTAATTATAAATTAAGATTACTAAATACGATACGATACTATCCTATTTTTTATATCTTATTACTCGAACTTATATTAAAGGGTTTATATATAGAAAATTATATTATTATAGAACTAAACTAATTAGAATACGAAATTAAACGAATTATTAATTATAAAATTAGGAATAAAATATAAGAATTCCTTATTAAATAGAAAAACTATAAATATAAAAAAAATATATAAGAACTTATTATAAATTTTTAAAACTCTTAATAATTTCTTAAGGAGTATTAAAGTTAAAATTAAATTTAAAACTCTTAGCTATTACGGCGTTCTAATTAATAATTTTAAAAGTATTATTAGTTTATACTTTATGGGTTACTAAAAAAGTATTTTTAAAATCCTTAAAAAACTCCTTTAATATAATACGACTCTTTTTAAATACTATTTATTTTTAAAAATAAAGACGTTTTAATTTAAATAATAACTTATTTAATTTAATTTAGGCTTATTAATAAGCCTTAGTTTTTTTTTATAATTCCGTAGCCCTCTCTTAAAACCGTAACTCTTTTATTTTTTTTTTATAATTAAGATAATTAAACTTTATTATTAACTAACTAATTATACTTAGTTAGCTAAGACTTATAAATAGAAACGTAATATTTATAAATATAAATAGTATTAGCGGACGTATTATATAAAATACTTAAATAATAGTACGTTTTATAAACCTCGGAATTAAAAAGAACTAAATAACGGACCCCTCGTGAGTAATAATTTAAATAAAATATTATTTCTATACTTTTATTAAAAAAGCGAATAATATATAATAATTTATAATAAGACGTAGTTATTAAAAATTTCGATTTTTTAATTCGATTTAATATCGTATTAATATATTTTAAAAAAATACTTAACGATTCCTTAACTTAAGAATAGACGACCTATTTATAGGCCTAGAGAATTAGATTTTTAAAAAAAGAAGCTAATATTACGACTTAATACGTATAATAAGGTCGGGGCCTCGCCCTATAGGACTTATAATAACTATTATACTCTATATATAAAAATATAAGTTTAAAATAACTCCTCTTAAAGTAAAAGAACTATAAATAAATTACGTAATTATAATTATATAATAAAATAAGGAACGGATACTTATAAATAAGTAAAACGGATAATTATAAATAAATAAGATAAACGACCGTTTAGTAAATTATTAAATAATAATAAATAAGGATATTATAAAAAATATATTTAAGAACGAGATTTATATATAGTATAAACTTAAGCTGGGCTTAAGGATAGATTTTTATAGCTTTTTTAATAATTAACTTAGTATTAGATCTTATAATTACTTTTAGCTATTTTTATTAAAAACCCTTTTAATAAGACTATAATTAATTATTAAAGCCTTATTTATTTTATAACTTATAAATATAGCTTTAGGAAAGCTATTTATAACTACGATACTATTTACTTAGTACTCGTAACCTTAACTTTTATTAATATACTTACTATAACTAGCTAGCTATAATAAATTTAGTCCTTTTTATTACGTAATAACGCGTAGTAATAATATATAAAAGCGTTAGTATTATTAAATAAATAGTTATAGTAATTATAAAAAGCGCTAATAATAAAATAAAAGAGCTAGTTATTATTTAAAAAGCTAATAATAATTTATTAATAATAGTTTATAAATAAAGTTAAAGATTTATAACGTTTATTTAAATAAATTAACTTTATAAAGCGTTATTATTTTCGATCGTAACGCGGGCTATAAATATAATAATAAGTAATAATAGTTAGTACCTTAATAAAAGGTTTATATTAAATAATTTGGATTATAAAACTAGCCTCGTAAATAGCCTCGTTAAGTACTATTTTAGTCTTAAGTAAGCTAAAAAAGCGTTAATTATAAAATAAGTAATTATATTTTACGTAATTATAATCGTTATAATTAATAATATATTAATAAATAAAAAAATCGTTAACTTCGTAATTATTCTCTTTTTATAATATATTAATATTAAGAATAGCTTTAATTAGTAGTAGTAGTAGTAGTAGTAATAGCGAGGTCGATAAAGTAGTAGTTATAAGTAGGTAAGTAGGTAAGTAAGTAAGTAGGTAAGTAAGTGGGTAGGTAAGTAGGTAGGTATGGGCAGCTAGGCTCCGTGGTTGGAGGCAGGAGCGGCCGCAGCCACACTTGGTGGCGGGATATCGGCAGGTGCTGGCAGAATATCATCGCCCTTTTCCAATGTCCTGTGGCCGATGAGATCGATTGTCTGCCCATGGCAATCTGGCTGCCCCATGGGCCCCTGGGCTCGACTCCCTTGGATAGCCGAGCCGAGGGACGCGAGCTGGAGGTTTTGTGAGGTCATCACTCCCGAGGACGAACCATATCGCCATGGAGCATTGGAGGTACGAATCGAGTCGATCGTGCTTCTGTCGGGAGCGCGACGGAAGCCAACTCCCGGGCCCCGGGGGCCCGCCTATTAAGGATAACTTGTGTGGCGTTTGCGTTTGCTATGAACCGCTGTCCCTCTGCTGGTAGTCTGTAGAGTGGGGTGTTCATGGAACGAACCGGTGGTTCGATGTTTTGGTGTGCTTTCAACGCGGAAGGGAGGCACTTTATCTGGGTTCGATGCTTGAATCGGAGGATTCAAGCTTGGGGCTCAACGAGATCTACTTGGGATCAGTCATCTAGACGAGAGAAGACCTTCAATATCACCCCTGTAAAACACTCTACGTACCCTTTCAGATACTCAAGCATCACATCTTGGGGTCTGTTCCTTGGGTCTTTGGCTGAGATACTGTGAGCCTCAGTTTTCAGCCCTGCTCGCACCATTAATCCATGTCTCCTCCTCAATGAACAGGCATCTGGAGGCGAATGGCTCGAGGCACCCTCTCCTCCTCCTATCTCCTTTTGCTTTGAAGTCTATAACATCTAGCCATGCTGAGTTGATGTTGGTGACCGACCACATACACGTCGATGATGTGCGGCAAATCTGCCATCTGGAGACACCTCTGGATAATTTGTGCCGGGGGAGGAGGCCACCGGAGATTTCAGGCTGTGTGAAAATGAGACTGAGACCGAGGGACATGTCCAGCAGAGGATAGACCTGACCGCCGCCATCCGCAAGTGCGAGATAGAGCACGCAAGAGGCTTTACCTCCCCGCCACGAGGAATGTGAACCTCGCTCCACGGGACGGATCGAGCGGGCTAGACCGGCATCACAGACATCACCTAACATGGCTGGCTTGGTACCCCGTCGACGTGGCTGACACCGGGGGGCAGTATCGATCACACGTTGGCACTTCGATCACCTCTATGCCTCTCTCCTGTCTCACTCACCCACGTCATCTTGTCAAAACGCCATCACAGGAGGAGGGAGTTGTTTTGGAAAGGAAGAAGCCGCAAGGGCAAGTTAGAGTTTGAAACAGAGACATCAAGGCGAGTACGGAGTAGAGAGAGAGAGAAACAAATTTCATCAGGTCTGGTTTGATTTGATTCCAAAGACGGCACGGCACACTGCCGAAGTTTTTACATGCTTGTATAGATGTCACTCATGTGAGAGGGCACGAGGTGTAAGGGGTGAGTGTAGGGTGAGGGGGAATGGGGTTGGGGCCGTGGGCAATATAGTCATGGGAGTACATCGTCAGGTTAAGACAAGACGGCAAGGTACGTTTCACAACGGATCAAGTCGACTGATATTGGGACATTTCACTCTCAACACATTAAGGCCGAGTAGCGGGCCGATAGATATTTAGGGGACGAGCATATTCCGTGGCAGCAGATTCTATTCTAAAGAAATCAGAAACGACTTTATGATTGCTTGCTGTTGTACACGTTTTTCTTTTTCTTTTTTGGGGGGTTTGAATTTCATTTTGTTGATTGTCTTTTGTGGTGCAATGAAAGAAAGGGGTCTGCTGCATTCCCACCGAGACCGACGGCGTAGAGGAGAAAACCCAATTTGCTCTGATCCGTCTTCTCTATTTGCTTGACTGGAGCGAGTCTTCCTGCTGACCTTTTCCTCCTGTAGAAACCCATCCTCGGTCAAACTTCCCCAAGCTCTCGGTCCCGTAGGCCTCCGGGAACATAGCATGGCCATCGTTTTCCAGAGCATGCCTTTGCACTTCAAGACGCATGTGCCTTTGAGACGCGATGGGCTGCAGTGTGTATGGGCAACAGGTCTGGCTCCCTGATGGTAGTGGGAGACAGAGACCATACTGCGAAGCCAATCTCATTGCATCGCAAACGGTTTCCGAGGCATTGCACTAGGAATTGAGCGTCGACAGTCATCCCGAAAGATAGAAAAAATCAAATTGAACGATGCTGAATTTCTGGGCGTGTGGCTGATCTTTAGCCTCTGCCTTCTGCTAGTCTACAAGATCGAAATTGGGTAGGCAATGAAGTGGTAGTGATAGAATTGGAAAACTCCATTCCTCACAGGACTGAAAAGCGTCGATTCGTCGTGCAAAGCGCGTCGGGTTCTTTACCACTCGTACTCGCCAGTGGCCTTGTGGAAGACGTACTCCTTGCCGTTGACGGTGAGAACACCATCCTTGAGGACGCACTTCCACTTGTTCTTGACGCGCTGGACCTTGTCGTACATGCAGAGCATGATATGTCCAAGACCCTCATCGTCGACCTCGTCGTCATCCTTGTCTTCATCAGGGTCGTCAAGATCTGAGTTGATTGCGTCTTCGTCAACTTCGTCATCATCATAACCATCGTAACCGGCAATTCCACCATGTTCCTTGCCCTTGGATCGCGCCGTGGCAGCCGACGAATGCCTCGTGGCTTCCTTAAGAGGCAGCATCAAGCCGCCGCCCTCCATGCTCTTGGCATTGGCAGCAATCCGCGCGTGGATCATGCGATCAATATCAACACGTCCAATCTCGCGTTGAGACCCATCAGGGTTGCGTTGGAGCAGAACACCTTCAAAGTCGAAGTCGTCACCAGCACCGTCGGTCTGCGAGGGATTCACACCTGGCTGACCATTGCTAGGTGGACGCTGCTGAGGCTGACCCTGTTGAGGAACTCCCGGGCGATACTGCTGTTGCTGCTGCTGCTGAGGCTGGCCGGGCATCTGGGGCAGAGGCGGTTGGTTGGCAGGCCTATTGGTCGCCGAGGCTTGTATGGCGTTCATGGAGGCGGCGCCTTTCTCGCCAAACTGACCGCGCACATGTTGAGCGGCTCGGTAAGCTGCAAGTCCAGCGCTATCTTGTTGAGATGGCGGCATCGGCACATTCTGCATGCCAGGCTCCGGCTTGATGTAAGGCTCCTCCTTTACAGGCATGTTACTGGCCTGTTGAGCCGGGTTTCCGCCAGGCAGAGGTAGACCAGGTACTGGGAGTTGCGGACTGAGCTGGGCCTGAGAGTATGGAGCCGCAGGCGGGGGTGCGGCCGTAGTCGGAGGTGGTGCAGGAGGAGCTGGAGCTTCCTTGACGGGGTCCCATGGAAACGCCGCGACCTCGAGTTGAGTGAGTTTTTCCTGCCATCCCTTCTTCAACTCTTCGAGCACGCTCTCATCAACACCACCCTCCTCGAAATCGACCCGAGAAGAATTTATCACCTCATCGATGATCTGTGAGTAGACGTTACCCACCGCGTTGTTAGACATGGTGGCGTTTGTTGGTCGTCGTTGTCGTCGTCAACTATGTGTTTGTCGAAGAAAGTAGTGTCAAGCTTCGGTACCGGCGAGACGGATGTGCGAATCTTGTGGTCGCGCCTTCTCCAACCTGGTCCCTCCTTCCTGACTGTTAGACTTAGTTGAGAAACGAAGTCGCAGAAATGGTCGAGAGTATTCAATCGAAGTCCGCCTTCACAAGGTTGCTCTTGGGTTGTCGATGGGGAACCGCCTGCTTAGTCCGCCACTTCTCGCTGCCCAAAATGGCATGCGCCTGTGTAAAATCGGTAACGGCGAATATGCAATCGATTGCTGACGAGGTCTCGCTGGTTGCTATCGGGGAATTGAGATGTAGGCAGGGTGTCTGGCTGGGCCCTGTTTTTCGCTCGGTAATGTGTACGGGTCAAGATTGCCTTTGTTCGGTGGGTTTCGTTTTGAGGCTCGAAGCTCGCCTATTAGTAAGCTTAGGCGGCAGCCGCACGGAGGGAAGGCTGAACTCAGGCACCTGCCAACTGCAAACTGCCCGCAAACTGCCCGCGCGATGATCGCTGAAGGATCCACACTTCCCGCAGGAACTGATAAGGCCTTAATTAACCCGATAAGCCACCTGAGAAGTGGATTGAAGTCGGAATGCGGGGTGTAAGCCGCACCTCAGGTCTTCGACAAGCAACTCTGGTCAAAGAAACTTAACCTGCTGCGCACCTCAGGAACAATGGAATATTGAGCAAATATGGTCATCAACAGACGGAATCAAAGTATTGACACGAGAAGAAGTTAAAAACCAGGTTTTCTTCATTGCAAGAGCGGTCCTTGTCACTTAACCACGGCCGTCTTCTTTAATACTACAGCACGTCCCTGACGATGCATTCCTTCGCAAAAACAAGCATTACAAATCTGTCCCATGCTAAACAGCAATGAATGATATCTTCTGTCGTTACTCATGACCAAGCAATTTCGTTTCCCGTGGAGAAGCCCTTTCGTGCCACGTAGAGTCGGATGCAATAAAACCAAACTCCTCGCTGAAGATGACCCCAACCGCCAGGAATCCATGACCGACAAATGCCAGAGGAGATATACCTACATTTATTGATGTCGTTTGACCGACATTCGCCAGGCTTGGTCGATGGTGGACCGTTTACCGGATGGTCATCTGCTTGACCATGTCTGCCTTGGCCGAAGATGTGCTGCTGCCAACACCGGCACTGGCACCGGCCTTCTTCTCGAAGACCTTCCAGAACTTCAGACTCTCATCGGCAGCTAAGCGATAATAGTTAGCAGTTGTCATTGTTAAGTTTCATAATTCCAAGACTCACCTGCGGTAGCAAGCATCTGACCGTCAGGGCTGAGGCAGCTGTGCAAGACTCTGCTCTCGTGTGCAGGGATATCGACGTTGCGAACCAACGTGGGGTAGCTCCAGATGCTCAGGGAGTTGTCGGGGAAGCCGCTAGAGCTGACGATCTCACGGTAGTGAGGGCTCCATCGCAGGCTGGTGACCTGGGAGCCAGTGTCGATGCTGTTGACGCGAGCACCAGAAGTGGAGTTCCAGAAGTGGATGTGGCGATCATAAGAGCCACCACCCGTAGCCAGAAGGTTCATGTTCCAGGGGCACCACGCAAGGGCCTTGACAGCAGCCTTGTGATTGGTCTTGGTAAACTTGGGCACAGAGAGCGAGCGGGCGTCCCAGATAGAGACGAGGTTGTCGTTGCCTCCAGTGGCCAGTTGTGCGCCATCCGAGCGCCACTCCAGACCGCAGACTTCTGAAGTATGAGAGACCAGCTCTGCAACCTTGTGCTCCGCAATGCGGACATCGTGGTTGAAGACCAGTCCGCTGCGAGCTCCAGTGGACAGAAGGTGCTTGTTCCAGCCCATAACGCCGACCCGGGTATCGTGACCGAACATGCTACGGACCTTCTGGGCCTCGGCTACGTCCCAGATCTGAACCTCACCGGTGCCAAGACCAACGCCGACGTACGCACCGTCGCCAGACCACTTAACACTGCTGACGTACGTGTCGGGGCTTGTCTCAAGGAGACAGCTGACGCTTCCCTCGTCAGCGGACCAGACGTAGACGTTGCGTTCAAGGCCGATGGCAACCTGGTTACCGGAGCTCCAGTCGAGAAGGTTGAGGTAATAGTCGTCAATCAGACCAGGAGCATCGAGAACACGCTCAGGGGCAGTGGCAACGCGACGGCGGAATTGGGCTGATGTGGCGCTCGCAGGCTTGAGAGGGCGGTTGTACTGCTGACGGAGGTCGATAGGCTTGGAAGATTCGGGGGGCGCAGGCTTGAATTGCAGGATGCGAGTGTTGAGGCTGACTCCGCAAGCGCTTGCGAGAGAATCTTGGTACGCAACGGTGTTGGGAGAAGGACGAGAGTACGTGGATGGCTCCTCATCCTCAATGTTGAGACCCTCGAGGGCAGCAATGGCATCCTCTGTTGCGGATGAAAGCACGTTGGATGCTTCGCTCACGCTGGCCTTTGAGCGCTTGTCGGGTCGGTCGAGCTTGCTGCTGCCGGCATTGGAAATAGCAGAGCTTGCGCTACGGTTGGGGATGAAGCGGTCACCACCATAGTTGACAGTCGTCTTGCTGGTCTTTTGCCTGTGAGAGGTCTTCTTGGACTTGGCGCTGGAAGGTGTCTTGGAAGTTCCAGAGCTGGTCAAAGTGAAATCGGACAGGCCAAGCTCGAGAGCTCTGCGAGGAGTTGAAACGCCCCTGGCAATGTTGGACTTGGGAGAGTCGCGGTGAGACGACTTGGTGGTGGTGGATCTAGCCAAGTGGGCAGTGAGGTTGCCACCATAGGTTGACTTGCCTGATGCGCGGTAGGCGTCGCTGCCAGACTGCTTCTCAGGGGTGAAGGGGGAAGAGTTCAGGTTCACCGAGACGGAGGTGGAATGCTGACGGGGCGAAGGTGTGAGAGGCATGCGACCGCCGGCGGTGCGGGAAGAAAAGAGACCCTTGTGGGACTTGATGGGAGTGGATACTGATGCAGTGGCCATTTTGAGTAGTGTATGTGGGGTATCGTGATGAAACGAATTGTAAATTTCCAACGGGTGCAACCTGGTGCACCGAGGGAAGAGGTGATGAGAGCTCCAAGAGACTCTATCGAAAGGTTCCTGGACGTTTGGTGTGTTCTGTTAGTATTCTGTCGTTGTGCTCGATATTCGAAGTAGTGCCGCCACGAGAAAGGCTCGAAGTCGGATGGGCGACCAAATGGCTGTGGACAGCGATGAGATCTAGAGGACTTGATTTTTCTTGTGAAAAGGCTTTGATTGAGAAGCTTGACCCAGCTCGAAAGCGTAGGAGAGCAGATTCAAGGTAGTAGAGGATAGCGGGAGTGAAGAGGTTTGGTATAGAGAGAAGAAAGCTTGAAGCTGGACAGGAGCTCTCATCATCTTTTATTTACTTTGTGCCCCACCATCATCGCGGCCGGGCAACGACGCTTGGACCAGCGTTGCGGCGTTGCCAGATTGACATGGGTGGGGCTTTCTGACGTTGCACCGTCGAACTTCTCTGCCATGGAAACTGCCTACCTTAGGTAACCGGTCACTGTTCATTGCTCGCTTGCTGACGTAAGGTACAGGAGCGACTAGGGTCACGTGGTTTCCGTTGCGAGTCGGGCGCAACCGCGAAAATCGGGCAAGCCAATGAACGAAGCGCAGCCTCCCGGTCCCCTGCACACAGCCCGTCTGCAGTTGCCACGACAGAGACGCAGGCTGGAGACAGGAGGGTGGCCCGTGATTCCCTAATTAAGAGGCCTGGGTTGTCAACCTATGCAGGAACATTGCGAATCTCCACCTCCAGTCTCCGGTGTGCGACGACATCCCATCCCATCCTATCTCACTGTCGCTTGCCGTCCCTCTGTTGAACTTGCACTCGATAGAAAAGTGTCGCCCGCTCCTGCCGCAACTCCTTCGTCTCCACGCTGTTCAGCCAACTACACGCCGTAGCCAGCACCAATTTCGCGATCTTGCATACGATTGAGATGATTTGTTAGCATTCGCCCTACCTTCGCTGCCCATCATGGCCCAGCCTCAGCCATCACCAGCAACTCCTGGGGCCTTGGCCCAATCCCTCTTCGGTGGGCCGGCAGCTCAGGCCCTATCGACACCCAACCAGCCCTCGAACACATCCACGCAACCTTCGCCTTCTCCGATGGACCAAACTCCGGGTTCAGCAGCGTCAAGCAACAACACCTACATCATGCCCAACTCTCCTATCAAGAGTAGAGGTACCCTCGATGGCTATCGTCCAAGGGTAACAAGGACCTTGGGCCAGCGACCAGCTTGCCTTGTCAACGCCTCGGTCACATATTGTGGCAACAACCATATCTACGCTTTCGGAGGCTTCGATCAGTACACCGACGAAGTCTACAACCATGTCCTCAAGCTGGATTTGGTCAGTCACCAGTGGAGTTTGGTTGACAACTACGGCGATATTCCCGGCGTAAGAATGGGTAAGTCGTCTTGATCACGGAGCGCGGCTTCATTCACCGCCACGATCTAACAAAATCCAGGTCATACTGCCACCCTATACCAAGGTGACAAACTTCTGGTCTTTGGCGGCGAAAACGAGCACCGGACCTATCTCTCCGACTTGATCATTTTTGATCTGAAAACCGCGCACTGGACACAACCTTCAGTAACTGGTCCTGTGCCCAAGGGTCGAGCAAGACACGCAGCGGTGCTGCACGAAGATAAACTTTTCATCGTTGGAGGCATAACTGGTCACGACAACTACGTGCTTGACGATATCTGCTATCTCGATCTCAAGACCTTCACTTGGTCCCGCTCCTGGCGTTTCGTAGGTCGATTCGATCACTCTGCCTACATTTATGGAGACAGAGTATGGGTTTTTGGCGGATTGTCTGAGGACATGGACAAGATTGGCGACCTCTGGTGGCTCGATCTCAAGGGTAGTCCGGCTTTTGATTCTGCACCTCACGTCGGGATCTACGATCGTCAAACTGGCACCAGCCGTGCTGTTGGATCGCCAA